AGAGAGAGAGAGAGAGAGAGAGAGAGAGAGAGAGAGAGAGAGAGAGAGAGAGAGAGAGGATGTGAGGGCGTGTGTGGTATCTCCAACCTAAAGAGGATAGTGCGGTTCTACTCTTCAATACCAGAATCCAAGCAGCAACAGTTTAGGGTTTTCTTTACACGTATCCACGCCCCTGTGATCTCAGTATCCCCTGATGGTTTCTGAGCGCTGCTTATATTACCGTCCGCCTCATCCGTCAGAGAAGTAGTGCAAAGCCATTAATTTGGCCTGCCATCTGCGTGTGACGGTGGATCAACATTGCGCTATGTATTACGTGGAGAGGCCGACTTGCAACCTCCTCCTCCTCCTCCTCCTCCTCCTCCTCTTCCTCCTCACTCTTCCTCCTCATTGCTACTCACTCTTCTTCACTCCTCAGTTCTTGGTTCTCAACATGATATATATTTATCAGAACCGTCCATGGACATGGACCCTTAATTATATACCCTGTGCGCACTGCCAATCAACAGGAAAATTATTCTCCAGTACCACAGACTTACTCTGCTTTTATACCCATTGCACACTGTCATCAAACAGGAAAACTATTTACTAGTACAGTAAATGCTCCACAGACACAGACTTAGACCATTGTTATGCCCAGTGCACACTGTCAATCAACAGGAAAACTCCGTTCGTCGTGTTTTACTGTCGTATCCATACGACGTGGGGAACTCTGTGCAACCACTTTCCAAAGAGGAAATTTACTCGTTAATCCGATCGGTACGCTTTGAATAGCAGTTTGTCAAAAACGATTTTTTGAGAAATACTGAAAGTTTCAAAGAGATCTTCGCACTAGAAGTATTCTAAAATGTGAAGAATACAACACGACCCCGGGGGTACAAAATGACCCCAGGGCGTACGGGTAGGGCTAAGCAGAAACATAGACTTACATTTTTATTATACCCATTACAGACTGTCAATTAACAGGAAAACTATTCACCAGTACCACAGACTTACTCTGTTTTTTATACCCATTGCAGACTGCCAGTCAACAGGAAAACTAGGGGGCTCTCGTGGCCTAGAGGTTAAGGTGTTGGCCTCTCATTCAAAGGTCCCGGGTTCGAATCCGGGTAGCGACCAAAAAATGTTTCTTCTCTAAAATTGTCTCCTTTCACCTCCTTCCCTGCTCTCTAGCAATGTTCTGTTGTCTGCTTTCATATCCACTTTCTGCCCCCACCCCCTCACCTCCTTTGCCCCCTCCTCTGGGCTCCTGATTCGTTCTGCAGCCTTTCTACTGCTACTCCTTGGCCCCTCCTTACTGCTGTCTTTCTGCCACACCCCTGATCTTCTGGTAGGAAAGATCTACACCTAGCCTTCTCGGACAAGGGCGAAAAATCTCGGAGGGCCCGTGTGCAAGTTGCGCACGTTAAAGTTCCCTTGGTGGTCTAAAATCGATAAGAGTAGGCTTCGGCCGCCACCCGGGCAAAATTCAAAATGTTCTACCAACTGAAAATATTAGGTGTGTCCCGCGCGCTCATATGACCTATGCAGTTACGAGCGCCGTAAAACACTTTACAAAAACAAAAACAAAAAAACAGGAAAACTAATAAATTAACCAGTAGTGCCATAGACATGTACATTTATACCCTGCGCACATGGACAGTCGGATTTATCAACTGAGTCGTGAACATCTAGATTTTCCTCCATGTCTGGTGCAAAAGCTGCTATTTTGACACAATACTACAGAATTCAACTAGTTTTGGTTGTGATTTTAAAAAATCAAACACATTTAACTTTCGAGATCGAGAGTCGAATCGGCCCTATTGTGCCCAAATGATGGTAACTTTTGCCCGTCCATGAAGGAAAAATCTTGCCCGCTTTAACTCAATCAAATGAATCCCATTGGCAGTTTGCACTTTCAACTATCAGTAACATTTGTCTATGGATAGTCTATTAACCAGAACTAAAGGCCATAGAAGCGCACTATTAATAGAAACATTACTATTCGATACTCTAGCCAGAACTATGACCTGAAATTATTGGCCATACTGGCCACCTCGCCTTTACCAAACACATTCCAAATGCTGAGGGCGAGCAAGATCAAAATCTGCATCATGAACACATGAAATTTCCGTTTCTTTTGAGTCAGCTTTTGATTTCCATGTTTTGCTCATTTTTTCACTGGCAGGACACTGTCTTTCATACTTGCATTGTTCAATCATTATTGACGCATTTGTTAGTGAACAAGGTTTGTTGAGGTATTGAATTTGCTTCAATAAGACATAACTCTGTATACATGCACATGTAGTCACGAATGATTGGGGCCTTTTTAACCCTATCCGTACGTCGTGTTTTACTATCGTATCCATATGACGGGGGGAACTCTGTGCCACCACTTTCGGAAGAAGAAATTTACTCGTTATTCCGATCCGTACGCTTTGCATAGTAGTCTGTCAAAATGAGTACTACTACCACTAGAAGTATTCTAAAATGTGAAGATAACAGCCACGGGGTACAAACTGACCCGAGGGCCTACGGATAGGGTTAAACGGGCCACGGGTGTTTGTCTTCCTGGCAGAATGGCATTGACAAAATACATAAATGACAACACAAAATATAAGGCGTTACGCGGTTTTCCACATGTTTTCTTGTTTAATTATAAATTCATGCCAGCTCTCTCTCTCTCTCTCTCTCTCTCTCTCTCTCTCT